ATTCCAGTACAGAAAAAAGACTGGGAAAGATCTCAGCTTAAAACCTTTCCTGAAAGAGGAAGGTTTTCAGCAGGTGCCAAAGAGACTACAGAGATGGTGCCTGCCTAATATTGAAAGGGAAGGGGTTCCAAAGTGTAGGTGTCACAACATTAGAAAGGCTGTTTCCTACATTGTACAGAATGCACTTCCTGATAAGATGGCATTTACAGAGGCCCTCACTGCAGGGTGATCAACTGGGTATAGAAGGATTGTGACAATCTTTCAGGTATCCTGGTCCCAAAACCAGCACCTTTAACTTAGCCCAGTAGCTAACTGGCAGCCAGTGCAATTCTTTCAACAGCAGGGCAGCGTGTTGACAATCTATAACCCGACATCCCATAATACTACCTCCGTAGTCTGTGCAATTAATTATGCATAGGGGAAACAGTCAGATCTGAAAAACGAAACACCAAACTGGGAGACATCTTTGCTTCCAAACATGCATTCATTGTGCTGCTGGTGCTGTTCACGCATGCTTCTATATAACGTCGTTGGCATCTAAAGGTCCACCCCCACATCCAGATTTATTAATTTTTTGCAGAAAATCAAATGCTAAAAGTGGAATCAATGTGGTGCCCAGGTGGGTCCGGGGGGGGGGATTAATGCATCTTCAAATGAGGCAGGTGGATCCTGACATCATGGAAGAAACTTGCCCCGATTTAGTCTGGGCTCAGCGCAATATGGGAACCAAGAGGTAGCCTTGATTCCCTTCTTCGGGAGCGGGGCAGGGAAGTGTGATCCTATTGTTCTTGCTTCAACTCACAGCGGTTTTCAAGGCTGTTGTCCGTGGTATTATCTGCAAACTGTCTTCGTGGGCTGGGAGTTGGTGGCACTATTTTACAGTGGTTCCACTCCTACTGAAGGAGTTGAGTTCAGAGAATGACTTTAAGTGATTATGTGCTCATCCCTTGGCAGTTGTGTTGTTCAGTGCCCCTTAAGGAAGGTTTATACAAAGGTGCTAAGAGCACTTATTAGAAGATTTAGGGTGCAGTGTCATTATGGGTGGTAGTTTACTATTTTTGACTCAGAGAAGACCTATTGCAATTACTGAACATGGCAAAGTTGGTTTATAAATATTCTTATCAATGCATAAAATCCCAGCACAATGAAAAGACCCCTTTACAAAGGTGGTCTGATCTAAATTGAGTCTCCAGTTTTCCGATTCGTACTTACTAACCAAGCCTGAATACTAATTGGCTACTATAACAATTGATATTGTTTCTTTGACATGCTATCTGTCGCTTTTCAAGTGGACTGCACAAAGCACTGGAATGCTTCAGGTTAGTCTGCTGTTCAGCTTATCTGCCTTTTGGATTACAGAATTTATAGTTTTAGAGGATTGTGAAGTTACAGTTGTAAGGACACTAAGCAAGATCACTTGTTTGAAGGGTCAAGTATCCATAACTTTCCAGAATGGAAGGTTAATAATTACTGGCAGAATAATTTATCTGTGCTACAGAAAAACCAAGCACCCATGGCACTTAGTTGACAATACAAGTATTAATTCCTTACTTGTATGATACATTAATAACTTTCATGCTGTATTGATAATGCTTGATGCCATCACATTTTTTACCCCTTACGTGTGTTTCTGTAGAAAAGCATACTTTTTACTTTGCTTGATAGGTCATGGATTCAGGTGTTTGATATATATGTAAGAAATGTGGGTTCCCCCCCCTTTTCTTTGCTAGACCAAAGAAAAAAAAGTATCAAACAATATGGTGCAATTCAGATTCAGTCCACATCCATAATTTCCCTTTATCTGCCCAACGGCTGCTTCCAATAAGGGGCCGTGCATTGATGGTGGTGACAGATGTTGTGAGTTATTGTTCATGTGGGAAATGAAATAATACCATGTTTCCACAATATCACTATCGACACCAGTGCTATTCAAAGCAGTGGCCCGCAGACCAGTGGCTGCCAGTCCCTGGAGACTACACCATAGCCCAGGTTGAGAGTGATGTTCAAATGTAGTCCCTGACACATTGGGTGTGTGTGTGTGTGTGTGTGTGGAACTGCTAGTCCCACACATCAGATGGTTTGGGAAGCACTGCTCTACACCTTTAGCCCCTCTTATTTATTTTGCACATTTACCTGCTATAGATGTTCGCCAAATGTATCCATGGCATCTAATCAGCGAGGTATCTTCACCATGTTTCCACTAAAGCCCAATGGTCTGCCTGGCTGCTCCCATAAAAAAAGTAAGTTAACTTCATATTTCGGTCCTTAAGAATAGAGGGCAACTTTAATTGTGGTCCACAGTGTACAGTTAGACCCATAATTTGTACTGCATTCAGAGCCATGGATTCAGGTTTTATAGGGGAAGCCAGGGGTGAGGGAATTTTTTCCAGCCCAGGCCCACAATCCCTTCAAGGGCAACCTTTCCAAGGGCTACATATCAGTGGCGGATGTGGCAAGATACACATCACTCTCTATCTCGGCAAGCAAAATACGACCGTCGCTGTTACATTCTAGGCAGGTGAAATCACTAGAAGGCCTAGAGCAAGGTCAGTGAGGGGTGTGGCTTGGGCAGAGTCCCAAGGGCCAGACAGAAAGCTTTGGGGGCCACATTCAGACCTTTATGCCTGGGGTTCCCCATCCCTGGAATAGACTTTAATAGGTTTTGTGGTACGCCCAAATACCTTAAACAAAGTTTTTTCAGCCATGGGGCCACTATATAATAATTATTTATTTCATTTATATACATTCTGTCCCACACCTTTAACAAGCCATAGATAATTTAATGGCCGAAGACCTGGGCAAAGAGGAAAGTTTTTGCCATTAAAAAATGTTTTTATTCAGTTTCCAGAGAAATAGCAGTGTCCCATGGCAGCTTAATGACTGACCAATTTATTGTGACAAACTTTTGTGGGCTAGTTCTTTTTACTTGCTTCACATTTCTAAGAATAATGCCTAAAGAGCCGCAGAATTACAAGAATTATAAACATTAGAAAACACACGAGTGTTTCCTTAAAGGCTGCCAGGTTATAATACTCAGATATATCACCCTGGGTCCTGACAGCAATATAATTTGATGTGTCTCGAATAAAACATGCCAACACCTCTCCTGTCTTACACACAAGGAATCTTGGTATTTTAAAAGGCAGCTTTCCAAAGCCATTTTTCCCCGAATGCAGATAACATCAGGTTTAACCTTCGTCCCATAAATATGCCTCAACTCTTGCCCATGCGCCATTAAACTCTGCGCATTCCTACAAAAAGTCAAGACCCCTTCATTGCTACACCCCTGACTTTCCTGGGGTTCCATAAACCCAAACCGAAGAGATGGATCGCCGATACCGATTTTCCAGCTGCTTTTCACCATCATGTTAGGCTGGGAAACCGTGCACTGAATTGTCTCTAAGCAGAATGGGCAAGGAGAAACAGAATATTACTCTGGTTCCCTTCCCTGCTGCACAACACCCCTCGCCACCTCTCGATTAGGGGAAGGCACCTGATGGTCTAGAGCCGAGTCACCCACCCAGCCCATGACCCTGTATATTAACCCTCGCGATTCTGCCAAGAGCTGCGTTGCCACCCACTTTACACACACCCCTGTACGCTCGTGCTTAGTTTCCTACCCCCGTTGCATCAAACTGGCTCCCTCTGTCCCTTCGCATTGCTCAAAAGCACGTGAGCCGCCACATCGCACACGTCCGCTACACACTGCAATTGCAGCAGCAGCAGCAGCAGCAGCAACATACCCCGAGCTTCAAATAGCAATGCAAAGAATACATGAGTCTCCTTGGAAAACAGCCGATATCCTAGGAATCTAGCCGATATCCTGGGAATCAGCCGGTGCCAGGAAGGCGCTTTCCCCGCTCTGAAGAAGCTGATCTGCAGTAGCATAGGGGGCGAATCGCCCCGCAAACTACCCCCCCCCCATCAGCGCCTTTTCTGTCGTTTCCAAGAACCAAGGCAAATTAAAAACTCGCTCCAGCATTCTAGTCCTCAGCGATTTGTCCGGGTTTCCTCCCCAGTCCCAAGTTTGCTTTCCTATCCACGGTGGTCTCCACCCTGCGTTCTTTCTTGCACCAGTCCCCCTGCCACTTTTATAGCCCCCATTGCCCATGCATGTTAAGCCCCACGGTGCAGGGAGGTCACCGAGCTTGCAAGCGTGCTTAAGGGAGCTGGGCGGGTTGTAGGTTTGCAGCAGGCGACTCCTTTTGCGCCCCTGCAGAAGTTGATCCGGCTCGGAAACGCCTTTTGCTTTTCATTCTTTATTATTATTATTATCCCGAGGAGGTTGTTTGCACCCCCCTCGCAGCCATGGCTCTTTCCACAAAGCCCTGCTGACATCTCTCTCTCTCTCCAAGAAGGCTTATCCAGCTTTTCCCTCTCAGCCCAAGAACTTTCCATATACAGGAGGCGCACATACACACGCATCCCGGCGCTCGGGCGCTCAGCAGCGCCAGCACCGGCTTCCCTCAAGACTCTGAGCGGCTCCAGCCTCTTCCTAGGGACGCGCCCGCCCTTTCCCGCCCATAACCCCAGTTCCCACAGTCTGACTCCTTCGCAGGGGGCGCCTCGCTCCACAGCTCAGACTGTGCATGCCCGAGTGACGCATTGCAGGTACGAAGCCACCAATCAGCGGAGCCCCTCGGTCGTTGTCTCACTCGCACGTTTTGTCTTCCTCCGCGCTACGAAAAAGTCCCTCCTTTTCAAATTTATTTATATTCTTTGTTTTAAAAAAGCTACGACTTCTCGTTTCTTGTCGATCCTTGTTTGTTTCTCGTCGAGTGGGGACGACTGACAGCATCGTGGCGGTGTGGGGAAGAAAAAGGGATAGACAGCCGCAGCGACGGTTGGTAACGGCTGCTTGAGGGCGTGGGGCCGGATCTCGTTTCGCCCCGCGCCGCGGCTTCTCTATGGTGATTTGGAAACGGGGGGGAGGGGAAGGGAGATGGGGCGGGTTAGGAGCGCGGAAGGATCCGGGAGAGCGGTGAGATGGTTTATGAGGCGCTGCCGGCAGGCGCGCTGTGCCCAGTCTAAGGAGAGCTGCCGAGCAGTTAAGGTAGCAGGAGCGGAGGAGACGACTGACAGCGCGCCACTCCCGCCTACCGCGCTTAGCCAGGCTGCCTTCGTCTTCAGCGTTAGCTGCTGCCAAGCCCGGGCCAAGCCACCATGGTTAGCAAACGGGCGAGCGGGGAGAGGCGGTTTGCGTTTTAACTCGGATCGACGGTTGGGCCGCGCGCAATCGGCGCCTTTTTAACCTGAGGCTGGTGTGAGGCGGGGTGGGGTGGGGGAGAGAGGACATCCGCCTCCCGGGGGGCTGTGGGGAGGCGCGGGGGGAGGTGGTTCGTTTCCCCCCCTCCGCTTGTGTGTTTTATCTCAACGTTCCTCGGCTGGATTCAAAATTCAAACCACCGGCGACAGTTGTTTTCGGCGCCATGCTGCTTTTTTCTCCCTCGCGTTCTGGACGAGAGAGAAATACGCATATGCACAACCTACATAGTCGGCGGCAGTTTTCTGCCTAGTCGAGGGATTTTTGTTGAGGGGAAGAGCGGCTGAGAAGGCAGGCGCAGGCGGCAGTTGGCTGCAGGGGCGCGCGCGCGCGTTTATGTGGGGCGGGGTGGGTGCAACAGCGTCGTTATAGCAACCGAGATGTCACCGCCGCCCCTTCCTTGGCAGCCCTCGGCTTGGGGGTGGGGAGGCAGCTGCTGGAATCCAGAACCGCGATCGCTCATCTCCTCTCTCCCCCCACCCCCTAAACAAAAAATTAAGGCTTGAAGGCGTATTTGGGGAGAAATTCGGTGCATGCGGAACGGCGTGTTGTCGGGGAGGGGGCGGCTGCACGAGGGAGAAGTTGCGGGGTGCTGCTGCTGATCGATGCATTGCAAGATCGCACCTGGAGGGATGGGGGATGCAGGGGGTATTCACAACGGCAGCGCGAGGTCGCCAGCTTTGCTCGTCCTCAAGGGTAAGGGGGAAAAGGGAGAACTGTAAGAGCAGATCGACCTTCGCATGAGAAAATGCAATCTGCAAAAGCCCAGAGGCTTGGAGTTTCATGATGTTTGTGCAAGGAGCGGGGCGGGGAGGGTAGAATGAGGCAGACGGTGCATGGGCTCCCCCACCCCTGTGCTGTTAGCTAAAGAGTGCGGTCCCGGTAACCCCTGAGATAATATAAACCGTTCGCTGTTCTTGTGTATCCTTTTAAAAAGTAAAGGTTTTTTTTCTCTGTTGATGGCTACTGTCGAGCTGTCACGTTATTAAGTAAAACTTGGCAGGGTTATACCGAGTTGTCATGCACTGGAATAAAGGCACTTATTTGGAAGGAGACTTGAGGCAATCAATCTGAGGGTCTGCTTGAACTATCCAGCAGCATAATGCAGAGGCTGTTGCTGCAGTTTTCCCTCTAGGCGTAAACCCTTGTGAAGAGAGAGCAGCTTCCTTGTCTAATGGCAACTGTGACTCCCGCTGGGAGCGCAGCAAGGATATGTAAAGGGGGGAAAAATCTTTCCATGCTAATTTTGCAGTAAGATCTTAAAGGCATTAGAAATCTGGGCATGATTTGATACTCCTAGTCTTTTGCAAAGCAAGGGTGTGCTGTGTGAAGGAGATGGCTGCAGACCTCTGGCTTGGCAGTCATGGGTTTATTTTCACTTCCTATTGAAGGAATTGCTTAGATGAGCTCAGTTAATACCTTTTCACTCAAGTGAAGTTGAATGATTTGTTTTGACACTAAGGCTGTATGCGGATGTATTCATCAAGGGAAACTAGCTTTTCAGTGGCCGTAAAAGTAGAGGTTCATATACCAAGGGATAATTTTAGATATTCAAAGCTATCAAGATTTCAGTTAGTGCTAGTATTCTGGGAACCTCATCTACAAGATGAGCATAATATATGAAAGTTGTTTTCTGTTACCCTGTGAGAGGCTTAATATTGACCATCTTCTAAATACTTTTCCATTCCTTAAATATATTGGGTGCTGTGTCTCGCAAACATAGTGACCTACCTGAGAGAAATTGTGCATTGCTTTAGATTTGGAGAGTAGATGTAAACCATTTTGTAAGCGTTCTGCAACATGTTTAATTTGGGTATGTCAGCCTCAGCAGCTGTCTCTTAAGCAGCCAACCCTGGACAATTATGAAGCTGTGCCTGGAATATGAATATACTGAAGGCTGGAAAAATCCAAGATGCCAGATCACAAACACTCCAAAAAATAAATAAAAATGTTGACACCTAGGAATATAAACTTACCATTGGCCGGCCACTTGAGAACCAGATACTGGCCTAGATGGAACACTGGCCTAATTCCACAGACCCTTTGCATTCTTTAAAGGCTTCTGTTTTGAGGCATTGGAAATTTTTTAGTGCCTACCTATGATACCTTGTTTTCCCAGGTACTGTTTGTTTCTCAAGCAATGTATTGTGAGTAAATGGTCAAACTAGAATAAAAAATTAATGGAGAAAATGAAACACTTTGAAGATCTTATCCAAAACTCAGGCTTTCTTCCTGGCGTCCTCCTTTTTGGAGCTCCTATTGCATATATCTGTTGATAGCCATGCTGTTAGTATAGGTGTTGGGTTCAAAGCCTCCCAACAATAGAGCCCCTTCTCTATTGACAAATATTTTCTTCCACAGTATTCCAACCTGGAACCCCTTCACATAAGGATTACTGGTCACTATTTCCCCCTCTGTCCTCAATGGAGTTTGCCTTAAAGCATTCCCCCCCCCCCATCTACACAGAAATAGCCCTTGGTTCCTTTTTTCAAAGCTTGTCTGTAGCCTGTTGCTCACGACCATCTACACTTTAAAAGTCTTTTGTTTTTGGGGGCGGGGTGAAGTTAGGGATATCATGGAGAGAGATGGGTTTCACCAGGAGAGCTAGAAGCTATCATTATTTATTAAATTTGTATACTGCCCTTCATCAGTAGAACAAAACAATAATCCCTCTCCCACAAACACATTTAAAAGGGTATAGGATGTTAGTCATTCAAAAGCCTGGTTGAAGAGGAACATTTGCACCAGGTGCCTAAAAGTATATAATGAAAGGCTTCCCTGCAGAGAATTCCACATACAGATTCACTGCAGAAAAGGCCCATTCTTGTGTTGCCACCCTCCTAACCTCTCATTGAGGAGGCACAGGAAGAAGGGCCTCAGGATGGTTGCGGGGTCTGTGTAGATTCCATTGCAGCTGAACCTGCACTGAAGCTCATTAGTATATGTTTCCTTGCAGCGTAAGTTAAGATGCTTGTAGATGTGAATGGCAGGTAGTAGCGACACCTCAAAATTCCATTCATGCTATGATGTTTAGGTCAGATTGTTGTTTCTCTTGATAGAGCTACTACAGAATATTATAACTGGTAATTTTTAATGAAAGTACATGGTCAGTTCACTGTATTAGTAGTACTCTTCTGTGGTGATGACCTCTTGGATGTGGGCCCCTCATTAATCCTAGCTTGCATAAAGGGATCCACTTTCATCTTGCATAGGCCTACCTCATATTTGAACTTGCTCACTTTACCTTGGCATGATAGAGGAGTGCTAGTTTACACCAGCACGTCATGATACCTTCCATTAGTTTCTCTGTCGTAATCTGAATTTCTCACACAACTTCCCCATAATACCATGCTTTTTAGTCTTGGATTACTTCATCTTGTAAGAAATGTTTCCTCTTTCTTTGCCACAAGTATATACCTAGACTGACCAGATGTTTGGAAGTATTCTATAAATGCAACACATATGAGCTATGTGTGCAATTGGCATGCACTCTTTCTAGGAAATATATGAATTGCAAAACTAGAAATTTCACCTCAAAGTCAATTTATTTATTCCACCCACTCCAATTTATCTTCCTCCCACTCCAGTAATTTAAATCAATCCACCTTGCTTCATGGAGCAGGTCTAGCTCCGAAACAGGTGAACAGGGTCCTTGATCATATGCAGAATGTACAGCTTGCACCAGTGACTCACCGTAGTCTATTCAACTTACTGAAGCAAATCTTCTTGCCATACAAAGTTGCCATACACTTCAAATGTTGCACAATGCAGCTCTTTGGCAAATAAGGGATATAGTATATGACTGAAATACCTCTAATCCCCCAAGCCCTGCTCATGTAAGATTGTGGGTAAGGATGAAATACCTGATCCACCTCTCTCCACCCCACCTGACATACATTTATTCAGAAATACACTTGATTCCTGTGAACCAGATGAACACACACCATTTGTAATCAAGATCCAATAAGTGAGTTAACAAATCAATTTGAGAGTGGGGAAAATAGCCAAAACAGGAGCTTGCCTTTGATTCTGGGCTACTCAGTCTTGCTGTTTTCACTGTCTCAGTGAATCGGTTTCCTGAGGGGAAGTGAGCAGCAAGCTCACAAGACTCCTGCTAAATGTTTTTTTTAGCCATAGTATTAATGGTAACCAAGAGTGGTGCTTTTTGCAGGCTTCACTTCATGCATAGCTACCCCAGCATCCTCTGCTTCCATTCAGTAAGTTTTAGCTATATGTGTATGGCCATTTAGACAGTATATAAAAATAGATGGTGTTAAACTCATAAAGTAGAAGGGTGTGAAGCAAACTGAGAAAGCCCTTTCTGTGTATATTTCTTTTGCCTCTTCCACCACACACACTCTTACCTAACTTGAGGCCACAGGGAGAGTTAGGATCTTGGTTTATAAAACTAAAGACATTGAAATACATACTGAGGTGCACCTTAGGTCTGGTATCTTCAAATGGAATGCAGTCCACTACCGGGTTATGAAGTGCAGGCCTGTGTAGCTTGTGATTTGAAAGCCATCTAGAAGAAAGCTTACCAGCAACATACAATGATGCACCAAGGCTTCAAATATATTTATGCCAGAACAATTAAGTCCCATCCTTCAGTATCTTGTCACCTTTCTCTTTAGTAACTAAGCTGTAGGAAGCTTGAGTATGGGGAAGGCAGTTTGTGTCATTCCACTTTGGTTCATATGTATGTACAAGGAACTCCCTATTTGCGTGGTGGTTGCGTCCTAGGCATTTGCACGTGTCAGCGGAGCACGCATCTCCCCACCCTTTTTCAAGTTGAAAATGACCTATGTGTCTGTCAATTAAACATGCACAAAATGGTCACTGCCTGTAATTGAAAATTTATTGTATATCTAGTTGGAGATTGGGGGGCTTGCAAGTTAACCTGAAAATAATTGAATCTGGGACTATAAAAGTGAAGATTACTTGAAAATGTGACAGATTTGAACATTAATTTCTGTTGTATCCAGAGAACAGTTCAGGTGGCCTGCTGGTGAAGGAGGTTGCTACTGCTCGGCTTAATATGGTCAGTTAAAATTGGTTGAATGGTTCTGTGGTAGATTGGACTATGGTTCTGTGGCAGACTGGGCTAAAAATTAGTGTTCTGGACCTTTGGGTTTCCAGGTGCTACATTGGGCTACCATCCTTCCTAATATTGGCTAAACTGACTGGGGATAATGAGGATTGTAATCCAACACCATTTGGTGACCCGAGATTGAAGGGCACTGTGCTACATGATGCAAACTGAAATGCTTTCATATTATGACTAATCTGATGTAATATAACTTGGCTTCAGGTGGGGGATTTAAAATAAGACAATATAACCAACCTCTCATTTTGGTTCCAATAAAGAGGTTATAGATAGTTTTTCCAAGGGAGGTGTGGCATTGGTAACCTCTCCTAAATTTTGGGATCCTTTGGAAAATAAGTAATGAAATCATACTTTTGAAAATGTTAGCTTGATTTTATTGATTTCAAGATTCTTACATTTCATTGTATGATACTATTAATAAGTAATATTAATATTATTGGGTGAATATGCTACTTAACACTTTAAACTTGCATGCAGTTTTCACTAGGCTTTTTTAAAATTGAAGACTGATTTTTACGTATAGGGGTTTTTGTATTGTGGAGAATAGCCTTGTCATCTTACATAATATAAATTAATGCTATATTTAAAATCTGAAATACAATTGTAAGATATTGCTGAGTGCAACTTGAGATTTTTGGGTGTTTATGAAACTTATGAATGCTAAGAGACTTAGTAGAATTTAAAACATTTTTCATATATCTGTTTCTTGGAAGAATTACAGCTCACTTTTGACAAGAACAAACATTTCTCATTTATAGTAACTTTCCATGATGCACATCTATGTTTTTTCTATAAAACCATTATTACTCTTAATGTTGAAAATTAAGTTTGCATTGAGGAAAATCTATATTTGCACCTGAAAGAAGCAGGATGTGGTTAAGATGTTTAAAATCCTGCTCGCATTTTGCTGTGCTTTCTGTGAACATATTGGATTTGAACCACATGGGAACTTTTGATGCAACCTGTAACATACAAGTATAGCTCAGTTTATGCTGCAGGAAGCCCCATTGGGGTTCTTGACATAACCCAGTAACATTACTTTTCCCCAAGAAGTGTATATTTTAAAGCATGATACCTATTGTGCATTATTCCCTACAATAAGTGTTGCACGACCAGTTTGCTTCCCAGTCCAAAGAACATAAATTCCCATTCAGTTTAAATTTGGTCAACAGGATTGCAAGTTAAGGTGAGGCTCTCCATAGAAATTGGCATATGCGCCCTACTCAAAGTCATGAGCTTGCTCAAGCTGAATATATGGCAGGTTCTTCGTAATATCTGAAAGGATTATTCTATGCCTCAGATGAATATTGTTCCAGAGCTTCAGGGCAATTGAAAACTGCTCTTAGTGCCAGGGAACACATAGTACTGTTGATGTACAGTCTCTATAGTGTTATGACAAGTAATTGGCTATGCCTCTAGTTCCAGTCATATCAAATGAATCCTTGATGCACAATTTAGTTTAAATAGTTTTCTGGTTACGTGACATGTCATCACATTTGTGAAATTTACTGGGTACAATATTGGATATCAATCTTTAGTTCTCCATTGTTACGATTCACTTTGATCATGCCCAACACAAAGCCGCTTCAGCACTGTGCTGTCTGTTTGTTTTGCATTATTTAATTTGAGGTAGAATATCGCTTGAGCAAACTGCCATCTGGCTTCGTTTCTCTGCTGCACCCAAGCAGTTGGCTGCTACGTAAGGGCAAGGGATGAGAGCTTAACCTGTCCCAGCTGTCAGCCAGAAAATTATCTGATGCAGATAACTCCCCTTCCCTTCATAAAAACTGCAGCTGTATGAGAAGGGCATGCAGGACCACCCCGACCCCATCAGTTTGCAGCGGACCAAGGGCTACTGGGATATTAGACCCATTCCTTATTGAAAGGCAGTGCCCAGATTGAACCCAAGTAGACTTAATGTCCATTCAGATTTTTTTTCTGATTCTGGCATTCCCAAAATGATTCCTGGCCAAGCTTTATGTGGAAGTTGTAATTACTTCAGATACTCTAGAAATAGCGGTGTTTTTAGGAACAGGCAAATCTGTAAGTAGAATGTCAATTTTCAAGGTACTAATTTAATTTCCCTTTATCTTTATAGGCTGATCAACTGACAGAAGAGCAGATTGCAGGTGAGATTCTAAATATACACTACTTGTGATCATGGTGATACAAAACTTGCGTAGTTTTCAGTTGATGTGCAACTTTGTAGTTATCATAAGTAGCTGTGATGCTATAAGTAGTATCGTAGAACTAATAATTAGAAGATAAACATTTCTTGTGTCACACAGCCTTATTTTTATCAGTACCCCTAATTTTATTATATAACTAAGAACTAACTACACATGACTTCCTGACATTCATAACTCACAGGATAGAACTGTTGCATTGCCTATAATACTTGCTTTTCTTGCTGTAACAAATTGGCATGTGTGCACTTCTGTACTACAAGTAGCGTACACATTTACAAGCTTTCTCTCCTTGTGCAGCAAGTTACACAATCTGGATTCATACTGACTCCTCCCTCCTTTGTTGCTATTAACCAAATAAGATAAAAAAATTAAGATACTAGTATTTTTGGTTTGGGGGATTGATTCTGTGTATGTGATTATTTAGATTTTTGTACCTCAGATCATTAATATTTGTCGAGTGGTAAAACTTTGCTTAATTCAAGCCCAAGTTTAATGATCAACTTCACTTTTAAATTTTTTTAAGATGCTGCCACAACCCAGTAAGTCGGATAATATAGTTATTCACGTGTATCCAGTGCAGTTAGGTTTAATAGTCTCTTAACATGTATGATGCCAGTTTTTAATAGTTTGTGACCGCACCAAACTGTGGAAGTCAGCAAACAGTTGCGTGCATGTGTAGAAAAAACCACTTCTTTGTAGCTGGTCAGAATAAACATTGATTTTGTACAGTTTCCGTTGAACACAAGCACTTAAATAATATTGGTGTAGCTAACATCTGCTGGTTAGTGAATCAAATCAACTGCTACACCATTTGTAGTCTTCGATTGAGTGATATGGTGATTTTGTTTATCAAATAGCTCATTTTAAAAGTTCTCAAATCAGGTATAATTTATATTCATTAATACTTTTAAAGCATAGCTAACCCTATGCTGGTGGAAGGATATTCCCAAAATTCAGGGCCTGCATTTATGTGGGACAAGATAGGTAAGCTGCTTTCCATGGTCAGGTCTCTAGAAAAGTGTCTAATGGCAAATGTTGTGATACTTTGCGCTGATAATAGAAGGGGTGAACATTGTATGCTACTATTGTTAAGGTGTGTATGAAAGTAGTGTTATTGTCGTATAGATTCCTGTATACAGTGGGGGAAATTGGGCATTTAAGCTTTGGGAATGAAATGCCGTTTATTTAAAGCTGCCCTCTGAATATTTGAATATTACCCAGTGTATAAAACTCAGTTGTCTACTAACTTTGTTCTAAAGTGATCAACAATAAAAAGTAGCAATAAAAATAAAGTGGCAGTTTAAAAAATGTTCTGTGGCTATTGAATATAGAGCAAGTTGCTGATGTAATCTTAAAATCTTAGGAAAACATTTTTCATTTATTGTGATTTTAGTAACTTCCCTAAGTGGTTTTAATACAGTAGGCAGAAAGCTTAATCCAGGGCATGTACTAGGTACTCCATACTTGAAAAGTATTTCCTCACCTTCCCTGAGGAATCTACTAGGCCAGCCACTGGATAGAACTAAAACACTTGAGTTAACCAGCCCTTAAAAAATTATTTGCCATTTCTTTGATTCCTGATGCGTAGAGCATTGATTATAAATGGTGTATAGTGTGATTCTGCAAGATGGGAGTAAGGGCTAGTTATGAATAGTAAGTGCCTTTGTAATGGGCAAGTTTTTATCCTTACTTTCCCATCCTTACATTTAAAAAGTATGCTGACAGTTGTAGACACAGCTTGCTGTATTGGGTTGAATGGACAGCACTTATTCATGCGGTTTGCCACCCATTCTGCACATAGAAAATATACATTTTTTTCACATGTTCTAGGCTGAGCGATACTCATATTGAGCCTTAAGAAGTGGTAAGTGTTCAGAAGGTAGATAAAGAGCACCATGCAAGTGTTGGTGTATTTTGTCAAAAGTTGCACAGCTGAACCGTAGTGGGAACCACATCAAGATGTGTCAGGATACTAAACCAGTAGAACACGTTTTTGCATAAAACATGGGATAAATGTGTCTACTGTCAGCATACATTATCATAAAGGAAAAGAAAGTAGAGCCAGTGTGGCGTAATGGTTAGAGCATTGGGCCAGGACCTGGGAGAGCAGGGTTTGAATCCACTCAGCTGTGAAGCTCCCTAGGTGACCTGGGGCCAGTCACCATCTCTTAGCCTAACCTACCTCACAAGGTTGTTGTGAGGATGAAATGGGGAGGAGGTGAACCATGGACACCCCCTTGATCCTTGAAAGATAAAGGTGGTATATAAATGTAGTAAATAAAGTTTCTTATTAAAGAATAGAATACTGTGGTATAGGGAAAGTTCTGAGGGATTCATATTATATTCCACATTTCTGATATTTAACTTGTGCTTCAATGAATAACAGTGGTGTTTGTGAACATGAGATTAAAGAGGTGCATAAGTGGCAGAGGGGAAAGCAAGTGGAGTATTTAAACATGCACCTCATCTTTTCACACCTCGGTGCCCAAGGTAGCCAGCAGTAGTAAAATATAAAATATAAAAATCCATATTAAAAATACAAATAAAAAAGTGGTTTACGCAGTGGAAAAACAAATATTAGCAGGTCAAAAGCCTGTATAAACAAAAAGGTCTTCATTTTTTGTCAAGGTCTGTAGGGTTAGGTGGATTACAGTGTGGACTCTACAAGTGCCTATGGGTAGAATCCAGAGCCTGGACGCTGCTACCATAAAGGCCCTTTCTCATGTCTGTGCTGAACATGCCTTAATTATTGGCTGGACATAGAGATCCTTAAAGGTGTTAAAACTTGGGCAGTCTCATGTAGAAGGTGGTCCTTCAGATAAACCGGACCCTAAGAAGTCATACTTTAAGAAATCATAATCAGCAATTTGAATTATGTCCAGAAGCACATCAACAGCTGCTATGCATATAATAAGTTTCTAGCAGAGTAGCTGTGTTGGTCTCGTATAGCAAAAACAACAGTCTTTTGAGGTGCCACATGACTGTTTTTCTGTTTTGCAAGAACCTTAAACTTAAAAAAAGATTACGATTAAAAGTGAATCTTTTGGCTACATGCTAGGTTTAAACATGGCTTCCAAATTCCAGGAAGTAACAGGAGGCATGCATTAGATTTGCTTTTTACAACAGCCTTAGGATAGAGGCTATGGCAGTGCAAACCTATGTGATCCTAGCTATCGACTCTTAAGTAGTCACCACTCAGAAGTATGAATTGTATGTGACATATTCCTTCTTCGCTACATTTCTCCAAGTCCTGAACTAAACCAAGGCAGAAACCAGTGAAATATTTTCCTGGATTCTTACGACATGGTGTGGGAGGTAGAAGGATTTATATTTTCCTATGGCGGGGGAGGGGAGCTCCCTAATGTAGAAATCCATAACAGGGATTCAAGTCTAACATTTTGTTTAAATCTTTCTCTGTGTGTGTTTACAGGGTTCGTGAAATGACATTTATACATGCATCTCCCAAAGTTGTTTAATACAAGGGGGAAATGCTACTTGATTCTGCTGAATGTGTAAACTAGTCTTAACCTTAACATACGTGGCTCTTTCCTGGTTAACTGAAACAAATATTCCTAATGTAAAACTAAAAAGATACTTCAACTACTGAGAGGAGGGTTTTTTTTGCCATAAAGCTTTGGATAAACTGTTGAAACAAATAAAACAGTAATGAATGTAGTAGTCTGAACTGATCTTTCAGTTCAAGCTTGAAACCTGCTTAAATGCTGTCTGAAGGTCATGGAAAAACTGAGAAACATGGAACGAGACTGCAGTATTTGGAGTCTTGCTGTAATTGGAGTCAATTTAAAGCAGGGAAGGGAAGCTTTTGGCCCTCCAGATGTTGGACTGCAGTTCCCGCCATGTATGACCATGGAACATGACTGCTAGGGCTGATGTGAGTTGGGAGTTCTAGAAACATCTGGAGGGCCAATTAATCCTCTTCACTGTTCCTGCTTTTAAAAAAAGTTCAAACCATTTACTGATCTTACCACAGTAATCTGAATGCAGGAAGATTTTTCATTCTTGGTTGCCAGAACCCACAGTACAGTTTAGCAGTGGGGCATCTATCAACGCAAAAAACTTCATTTTATTAGTCAAATTTCCAAGATTGATCAGTTAGTTCCATAAATTTCAAACTGTTTCACAGGTGTGCTATGCCATGGTCATAGCAGTTTGTGATAAACTACTGTCAACACAGAGGTGAGCCAATCCAGGATTTTCCTATGGGCAGAAGGATAGGAAGGTGCTGCACATGGAAGGAGAGAATTAGTGAAATTCTTCCATCCATAGGAGCATCCACTTCAGAGTTCCATTCCACAACCCTATACAGTCATACCTTGGAAGTCGAACGGAATCTGTTCCGGAAGTCGATTTGACTTCCAAAATGTTTGGAAACCAAAGCATGGCTGCAGGAAGTTCCTGCAGCCAATCGGAAGCTGTGCCGGACGTTGGCTTTCGAAAACAGGAACACTCATTTTCAGGTTTTGACTGTTCGGGAGCCAAGGTGTTTGAGATCCAAGGTACAACTGTATCTCATTTTATATATCCATTTTTCCATATATCTCCCCTTTGGGCAAATTAATACTGATATTCTTTTCCTATCAAAACTTCTGCTCTTATCTCAACAAGCTCTGTGCTTTAACTATCAAAGAGGCTAGTTATCCTGTTTTTCTCTGCAGCTGAGTATCTAACCTTACATGGTCACCTTCAGTAGGGGATTGAACAGTCTGTGCTCTTAAAATTAAGGGTAGAATAAAGTCTATGAACATGCAGAGATAATGGAGAGCCTTTCAAAAGTATTCTTCAGTCCTGTCAGGAGAAAAGGTGGGGTATAAATAAATTAATAATAAAAAAATAAAGTAGCACAAATCTGATGTAATAAAAGACTAAAAAAAATAGCCCATTGTTCATTACTAGAAAAGGACATGAATATTAGTAGGGAATGTGAGAAACCTGGTAGAAAAGTGATAATTGGTAACATAATAGATTCCTCTGGTCTATACATGTGCAAAGTAGCTAGCATGCTATATAGGTGAAGGTAAAGGGACCCCTGACCATTAGGTCCAGTTGTGACTGACTCTGGGGTTGCGGTGCTCATCTCGCTTTATTGGCCGAGGGAGCCGGCATACAGCTTCCGGGTCATGTGGCCAGCATGACTAAGCTGCTTCTGGCAAACCAGAGCAGCGCACGGAAACTGCGTTTACCTTCCCGCCAAAGCGGTACCTATTTATCTACTTGCACTTTGATGTGCTTTCGAACTGCTAGGTTGGCAGGAGAACATGCTATATACAGTGCACTGAAAACCTCCAGCAGAACAAATAGCTTTCAAGGTGCTTCATAGGTAACAATTCATAAATGGAATTACAGTCAACTTTGGAAGCTTTTTGGCCTGGAAACCTGCTACTAGGGTAATATTATTGTTCCCATAACTACCTGAGGACAATTATGGAGGAATAAAGGTACTCCGATTGTAAATGTAATGTTGGTTCATTAGCATTCTGAAAAATAAAAGCACTTCTTGAAGTTGAAGGACAGAATTAGTAAATTCATTGTGGAAGCATGAAAGTTTAAAACTTCTATAAAAGGGGTTTGATAAAATGCATACTGCAGGATGGAAAGGATATGAATACCAGTGTGGCTGAGTTAAATAGTCTCTAAAAAATGGCATAAAAGGTAAAGATAATACTGATAATAGGAAACAAAGAAAGGAGGTGGGTCTTTGATAAACACGGATAAAAGTTATAGTAATTGAGTAGAGATACTTCAGAGAAGCTAATGCATACTTTGCATCCATTTCAGTGAAAAATGGAAGACCCTCTTAATAATTTTCTTCAGGGAGGGTATCTCAAGAACTACTGATAAGCATGGGTATGCTCACCAATTCCTTGCCTGGGGAGAAAGTGGAGGCAGTGGGTGGTTTTGGTGGAGCCCATGATGGGATAAGAGCTAGGAGTTCTGGTATCAAAAGTAGTGGAAATAAGGCTATTTGCATTTATTTCCACAAATAAGAATGCTCCCTGAGCATTGAATGTCTGCCTTGGTTCAAATTGATGTGAAGAGAATTTTCTCACTGGGATGCTGGTGTTTGTAGACTAGTTCACACACCCCTACAAGAGGGAAATGGCACGTGGTGGATAGCTGTAGTTGAATTGGTGGTAACCATTCAGGAAGTATTATGCGATTGTGGACAACTTCCTATGCTGTGACAGTGGAAAAAAGAAAATGGTACTCAGAATTACTAAGAAATGGATTGAAAATAAACAGCCTATCATAATGTTAGTATATGCAACTATGATGCTACCATGTTTGGAATATACTGTATCTGGTCACTCCATGCAAATAAACCACAGGGAAAGATACAGAAAGGAACAAATGATGGATAAGGTATTAGAGAACCTTTTCTATGAGGAAATAATGGTTATGGCTTTCCAAGTACAAAAGAATTCCAACAGTTGACTTGACACACTGTAAACTGGTTGAAAAATTGGCTGATCACTTGTGAAAACCATGGGACTTTGGTCTGATCTAGCAGGGCTACTCTACAATTACATTCTTGGCAAGACTTTGCCACTTGTATACAATGCAGGTCAGCTTGAAAAACAACCCTGGCTTCTGCTCAAGGCAGGTTACATAAGAGAGTGTTCAGAAAATGTTAGATCTTGCTGAAACCATATTAGTTTGGACCTGGATGTGCTTTCGTTTCTTTGGATTCATTCAACGTGCTTAATGCTTCTCAATTCCTGTGCAGTTTAAAAGTGTTTGTAGAAATATAAAGTTGTACAAGCATATATTTAATTTTAAGCTGTCTAATCTTTATATCCTATAGAATTCAAGGAAGCCTTTTCGCTATTTGATAAGGATGGAGATGGTACTATAACGACAAAAGAACTGGGGACAGTGATGAGGTCACTTGGGCAGAATCCAACAGAAGCAGAGTTACAGGACATGATCAATGAAGTAGATGCTGATGGTAAGCTTCTTCTAAAATAGTTAAGTTGCTCCAAAACCAATGGCTTTCCTTTAACAACCAAATTATCTTACAGGCAATGGCACAATTGACTTCCCTGAATTTTTGACAATGATGGCAAGAAAAATGAAGGATACAGACAGCGAGGAGGAAATTAGAGAAGCATTCCGTGTATTTGATAAGGTATTCAATTAATACACTCGGGAGGGGGAATATCTGAAACTGCAAATTCAGAGAATTTTCATATTCAGCACCAGATTTTTAGTTTCAGCTAAGTTAGCATTCGCTCTCCATTTGGCTGGGTTGTTTATCTCACTCAATTAAACTTAGTGCTGAGAAACAGGTCAGATTCTTAATCTCTGGAAGCCCTGATATGAATTCATATGAATTTAGATGCAACTTGAGGTGTGCTGGTGAGGCCCTGCTTAAAGTATCATCTTATTTGGTTAACAAATTGGTGTCTACAAAAAGCAAGACTTTGGGGTGGTAGCCTCAGAACTGTGGGGGCTGTTCAGGTGATTTATTTCATAACATATACTGCTTGATTGTAAAAAAATATATCAAAGTGTCAGTTCTTTAAAACACTTCTTCATACTCTCTCCTATAAATGCTTTTAGGAGGTTGGTTCCTAACTGGTTCTGATACGTCTGCTGTTGATACATTTTATTGCTTAACCCAGTGTTTCCCAACCTTGGGCCTCCAGCTGTTTTTGAACTACAATTCCCATCATCCCTGACCACTGGTCTTGCTAGCTAGGGATGATGGGAGTTGTAGTCCAAAAACAGCTGGAGGCCCAAGGTTGGGAAACACTGGCTTAACCCATGTCATGAGCATTTTGAGAATTTGTTACTGTTTAAGATCTTATTTCTGAAAAAGATCAAGCAACAGTTGGAAGTTGAAACTAAACCTCTCATGAGCTCTTGAACCTGTCATATATGCTCCCTGTGAGAACAAGCCTTTGCCCTGATCTAGTCAGCTGTTTTTATGTTCTTAACCCATTAACAAATTGGTGTATGTTCGCAGAACAATTTTTAGATATTCTTATTTCCTATTAAGTAGTTCTTGCTGAGGCAGGTAAAGGAAGCCCTCAGATACTGTGACAACTCATAAAGAGTAGGCATTCATTCATATCGCTACTGCCCTGCAAAACCTAGGCTTGGCTATGTTGGAACTATTTCATAATAACACTCTTTACTCCAAACAAAATAAAAAAATTCCTTCCAGTAGCACCTTAGAGACCAACTAAGTTTGTTACTGGTATGAGCTTTCGTGTGCATGCACACTTCTTCAGATACCATTGAGTATCTTCAGATACTCCATTGTGGAAGTCTAGTGATGCACACCAAGCAACAATCTAGCTAGTCAGCAACTGCATAATATGACTGGTTTCTGAAATTTAAATGATATGTTTCTTACAAAACAATAAAGGTATAAACAATTCCAGGGAGAATTTACGTATTGGCAACACCATTCATAACTTAAGTGACCTGCATGTTGATTTTATACCCAAGGCAGTCCAAAATACAGATGGTGCTATAAATTTTAAGTAGCTCAAAATTTCTGGCCATGTTGTGCACCTCTAGGCAAGGGTGGGATTTGAAGGGGATAGTGGATTAAAAAATGGAAGTTATGCCTGATCAAGGCAGTTTCTGGCATTTATTTCCTGTTGCATAAGTACTAACTTGCACACACCTGAATATAGCAAAGCTCTACAAACTACTTGTAAATGTTTTACAGGATGGTAATGGTTATATTAGTGCTGCAGAGCTTCGCCATGTGATGACAAATCTTGGAGAGAAATTAACAGATGAAGAAGTTGATGAGATGATTAGAGAAGCAGATATTGATGGTGATGGTCAAGTAAACTATGAAGGTAAAATTGATAACTGATTTTCTCATTGACTAATATAACCCTCATTGACTAATATAGCTGCCTGAACTTACTGGCCAGAATACAAAGAAGGTTTGTTTCCATGCACATGTTGGGATATTCCATACTTGCATTCTTTGCTGCTTAAGCATTTGCAGCAAAGCTAGTGTAGTTCAATATGGTCTAACTACCATTCTGCCACAAACGTAAATATGCTTAATTAATAAATAATGAATAATAAACTTTGCATATTTCTGTACAGTAGGAAAGTGGTCTGTTCTCAATGTAATGCAGACAGTGACTTTTTATCATAGTACATAGCTGGTAGGTTTGTTCAGAAGTGCCATTGTAGTTTAAGTTGATCACTTATGTAAGAATAAACTCACTAAACAGATATTGCCCTGGGCTTAGAACATGCAGTTGGGCTATTTTATTTAAGGCATTTATATGCCACCCTTCAAAGTACTTATTTCAGGGCAGTTTCATTTGCATTATAAAAGCAAAACAAAATAATTAAAATATGAACTTCACTCCTAATGTTTGAAATACAGCATCCTTCTAATACTTAAAATACAAGCCATTAAAATATCTGTAAGGATAAAAAAAAAATGCCTTAACCTAGCCCGTAAAGACATAGTGGGAGCCAGGTGACCTAGGAAACTAATAGGGTGTGTCTAATATTTGAAATTTTCATGTAGATCCCTAGATGGATAGCTTTTCAGTTAGGTAGATAAGAAGTTAAAAAGTACCGAAAGAAAACTGAGTACTGTTTATTGATGCAAGGAGGGGAGCTACTAGTAGTCATAAGTTGTATTTTAATTGTTGCTTTTAAATGTCTTCCAATGTATTTTGATAATTTTTAACTAGCTAGTTTTTATTAATGTTAGAAGCTGCTTTGAATCCTTGCTTGGGAAAAAGGCAGGATATAAATCATTTTTTAAAAAAATAAATAAATCCTTAATTATTTAATGTATCTGAAATTTATCTGCCTAAGTTGTACAGAGCTACCAGTAAAAGTATTTCTTTCTAATAAGTAGAAGCACTTAATGTGGCAAGTTGATTCTTAATACGAACATGTTTCAGAAATACTTGAATAAACATGACTGTCTCTTTTTCTCTACAGAGTTTGTACAAATGATGACAGCAAAGTGAAGACACTGTACAGAATGTGTTAAATTTCTTGTACAAATTGTTTATTTGCCTTTTTCTCTGTTTGTAACTTATCTGTAAAAGGTTTCCCCCTACTGTCAAGAGAATATGCATGTATAGTAACAAACTCATTCCTCCATGTTTTTCCCTTTATCTGTCATCCTGATATTTTGGGAAAATGATCAAAGTAACAAATGTTTGCATGTGGCTTACTCTGGATATTTAAGCCCTTCCACACTTCTAAAGCTAGATGATGTGTTGGTCAAATGAGGGAACATCTAGGTTATGCCTGTTTTAAAATTAGTTCTTTTAGGAAACTTAGCATGTTGTTGAAATGTAGTCTTAACTCTGTGTGGACTATGGACAGTCAACAATATGGAACTTAAAAAGTTTGCACTATTGCAAAACGGGTGTATTATCCAGGTACTCGTACACTATTTTTTGTACTGCTGGTCCTGTACCAGAAGACCTTTTATTCTATGGTTACTATGCTTTTAAAACTTTTGTTCAGCCACTTATTTTCAAAAGAATCTGCTTATGGCACAACTTGCCTCAAATCCATTCCAAGTTGTATATTTGTTTTCCAATAAAAAATTACAATTAACCCATATTGTTCCTCTGTCTCTTTAAACATTTTGTATATCTCTTGTCATGTTGATTCTTGATACTTCAATAGGAACTGCAGATACAGACTTAATGTCGAGGAGATGGCCCATTGGAGCTTCTGTGTTAGGTATTTGTTATCTGTAATGCCTCTATTGACACATGAAATCATTGATCTATTCTGTATGGACACACTCACCTGTAAGGGACTGGTTTTGGGGTGTTGCTGAAGTTGGTTCTAAGTTGGGAGCTATGGCCATAGTGGTGTTTTCAATTATACCCACTACATTAATTTGATGACCTCTGACTGCATTACTGTAAAAAGCTGAAAAGCGTTGTTCACAATGTTTGATTGAAGAATGGATTGGAAGCTTCAGCCTCTGTAGAGTGCAGCAGCTCATCTGCCAAGAGGTGTGGACAGATACTTGCATCATTTCTCAAAGCATAAGCACTGACTGCTGGTCTGTTTCTGGGCTCAATTCAAAGTGCTGGCACAAATGGCTTTGAGTATAACTATATCAGTGAATGTTTCCTTTCACATGAGGCCTTCCTCGTCAGCATTTATTATCTTCCAATGAGGTTCTGCTTCAAATTATATCACAGGGACACCAGATTAGCCTTTATCAGAAGCATGGCTTTCTGTAGCATCCCCAATGCTATGAACTTTCTTCTTCTGCAGACAAATAAAAACCTTGTTTCCGACAGCCTTTGGTTCCTGTTTTGCCATGCCCTGGCAGTGTCTTATGTATGCTATTTATTTTCTATGTGTTTTTCGTTCATACAGTCTGTACTTGGTAAAGCTGCCCTGAAGCTTGAATGCTAAAGTGGTCTAAAATATTTTTAGTTAAATCTTCCTCATTCCACTAGTAAATGGGTTCAAGCCCAACAACAAGGGTCCCCCCCCCCAATCCTGGGTGGACAGATTGCTTGTGCTTCAAAATCAAAAGCTCCCTCCTGATTGAGAGTTTGTATATTGTATCATAATGTCCATAGTGACACTTCATTATAACTGCTAGTGAGTGAAAGGAGGTACATAGGAAAGGTCTGGCCCTTGCCTCTGTAGTGACTCATTATGAGTCCTCTCGTTTTGATACAGGTGTGGGATAGCATCTGGGGGTGGTCAGTGAGGCAAAGCATGGCCACATCTTTACAAGGCAGTTTTCCATGATGTACAGAAGTTCCACTCACTACCAACCATAACGAAGCCTAAAAGTCAAAATGCTTGGTGGCCGTCGCAGTAATTTTGCGCAAGCGTCTGAAGACACGGTTTGTTACTCCTTTTGGTTTCCATTAAGCCTTTGGCAATGTTTTATGGTGACTGATCACAGTGTGGGCCTCAGTCATATGCGTCATAACTAGGAAATTTCTCTGGCAGCTGAAATTTGGTGCTTGAGGGAGGGAGATTAAGAGATTTTATGTCTTCTCTCACCCCCTGTCCCCCACCATGAAGCAATAGGAGTTCTGCATTCTGAAGAGAGACCTCAAGCCCTGTCTCCATGGGAAAGTGGACGTGTGGGGTCATTGTATTACAAAAGCCCTTAGATTGGGTAAAAGGATATTGGTCATAGCAACAAGCGGGTTCCCCACCTTAAAATACTGGTAATATTTACCTTGGTGGGGAAAGTCTCAATCAGTGCTTATACACTTAAAGGTTGTCCAGCCAAATCTAGAATAGCAAATGCTCGGTTTGCTTTGCATTTGTTGTCAGGTCTGTTGGGAGTCTAGTTTCTTAGCATTTGTTAGATCTTTTTACGGCAAGCAAGCCCAGTTCAGGTGCATGGCTCCATGTAAAAGAGGTCACATAATTCCATCACCCCACTGTTGCATGTTGAGAAGACCTGAAGCGAGAATCTTCCCACATTCTGTTGCTTAAAATGGTTTTGTGCAATGATCACCTGGAGTTCCCATTTTAAGTGTGTTCTGCCTATTACACAAAGACATTTCAGATCTTTTCACACAGTTCTGGTAAAACTGATGGGAACTGGGGTAGCAACCTTTCATGTTCTGAGAACACAGGCAAGGGTCTGTAGGACCTATAGTATGCAGTAGTCATGGCAACTGCATATGATTCATCCTGTAGCCATGCTGTGTGTGGACTGGTCATCTGGTTGCATTTTCATGGGGCATGACAGCCCTTCAAAGGATGAAATGTACTTGGAATCCCCTGAAGATGGGAATGCCCTGATTTCCCTGGAAATGCACTTTAATTTTCATACGGTTCATTTATGCTGAAAAGAACAGCTGCATCACAGGGAGATTATTGGCGGGGGGTGTGCGCGCGCAAACGACAAAAGCCTTCCAATGTACCAAATTCTAAAGGCAGCACTTAAGCTCATCTGCTTTTTACAAGCACAAGGTCCCAGGATCATTCCCCAGGAAGGTCTGGGAATGTCCCTTGTCTAACCCTGCTGGTCATTGTAGAAAACATTTTGCTAGATGGACCCAATGTTCTTGCTCAATATAAGGCTACTTCCATGTTCCTCGACTCCCACAAGCAAACAAAAAGAGACACACCCAAAGCAAGAGAGCAACTGATCTCGGTGGCTGGGAAACCAACTTGCAACTATGGTCTGGGATCCAAAGAGCTAATTGAAGCACTCAGAGCAGTTGGTGGAGATGATCAATTAGATTTATTATTATTATTTTGCATGTTAACAGTAAACTACCATGCCATATTGCAAAAAGCTTTTCAGATTCAGTTTATAAAGCAGTTTGCCATATTCTTTAATGTTCAAGAAACACAAGTTCATTCTCATTAATTTGATCGCCTGGTACTCCACCTTCAAATCTTGACGTTGGTATATTCACTGGGACACTAACTTTTATTGCCATACTTTTATTCAAAATATAGATAAGCAGGGGTGGGGCTTTTTTGTTTGTTTGTTTTGCTGGAGGAAGACTGGCTTGTATTCATAGAATCAGGAGTTGGAAGGGACCCCAAGAGTCTAGTCCAACCCTCTGCAATGCAGGAATTAATTCAGGTTACTTTTACTCAGATTAGGCCTGTTGAAATTCATGGCCATGACTAATTTAGGTCTGCTAATTTCAATGGGTCTACTCAGAGTAAACAACTGAAAATGACACAATAGGTTTTTTTTATAGGAGTTGGCACTGGATTTTGAAATGGCTCTTTTAAATGTCTTGTTTGCACACATCACTTTTGTCCAGCCACTGTCACTTCTAGTCAAACAGGTCTTGCAAAGTTCTGAAACAATGCAAAATCCTGCAAAGTCTGTTCACCAGGTTAAAATCAGGATAATGGGATCACAAGGGACTTCAAAATTGGATTGCTGTAATGCACCTGCGTGGGGGCTGCTAAAAGTTTTTTTTTGTTCAGGCATGTAGACTTTTTAATCTGTTTTTAGCTTAACTGTTACTTTAAATAATCTGTTTTTAGCTTTGTCGTTTATTGACAATTTTCATGTTTGCTTTGTTCTTTGTAAACTGCTTAGAGGCTCTATTTACAATCAAACAGTCTATACATTATCTTAAATAAATGTAAATATGTAGCAATTCCTCTTTCCCCCCTAAAAAATATTTTTTGGCAATTAATTGTTACTGCTTTTCTTTTTTGAATATTTTTTATTAGGAATTTCAACATAACAATTTATCAAAAACACATCAGCCTCATTCCCCCCCCCCATTTTTCCCTCCCCCAAAAAGAAAACCCAGACTTCCCTCAGCTCCTCTCTCTGGTTTTTCATCAGATGTTATTCTCTGCATATTATAAAATTGTAAAGAACCTTAATTTATCTATCTATATATTACCAAGAAAAAGTTTGTGACTGTTTATTCAAAACCTGCCAAGGAGTCCAGTTCATTTTGTTGTTTTTTTAAGTACTTTGTAAAAGGTTCCCATTCTTCTTTAAAGTCTAATTGTTACTGCTTTTTAACTCTCTTCGATATTTTCTTAGTTCTCTGTTTTGAGCCACTTTCTGTTGCCAGGCTTTATCTCTTCCTGTTTCTCCTCTTGCGTGCGAACACTCTAATACAAAGCCCTTGAATTGTGATGTCACAGATACCTTTATAGCTCTGGTGCAAACCAACAGCAGTACTCAGTTTATGTCCAAAAGAAGATGGAAATCCTAGCTCGCAGTAGGGGCCCAAGTAGAGTGAGCGGACAGTTTGGGGTAAATCCTATACACTCATCTTTGGATTTATTTGTTTGTTCTTTTATTCGAAGTATTTGTACCCCATCATTCAATGGTCTCTACGTGCCATACAATAATCCCAAGAATAAAAATCAAATATAATAAAATTAATTACAAACCACAAATAAGAGAGCCTGGAACAGCAGAAATAAAATATCACAATGCACTTAGAATTGTAGAATTGGAAGGAAACCTGAGGACCATTTAGTCCAGCCCTCTGCAATCCTGCCCACAATCGCCCCTGGGCAGCCTTGAACCACAAACCTTCTAGTTAACATCCAGACACACTGACCCATTATGCCACAGAGACTTCGTCCTTCCCCCAAAGCCTGGCTTTTAATAATCATAAAATCATCAAATTGTATGACCCATGGGTCATCTAGTCCAAGCCTCTGCAATGCAAGAACCGCAGCTAAAGCATCCATGATAGATGGTTATTCAGCATCTATAATACCTCCAAGAAAGGAGAAATAATAATCCTACATTTAAAATTGCATAATTAAGCGACAGCAAATATTTTGAAACAACGGACGTAAGCAAAATAAATAACTGCAAAAGCAAGTCATGTGCAAAGCAACAAAATCCATTAAAATTCAAGATGAGCATGTGGCAGAATTGCAGTATAGAGCTAGAATATCTCTACAAAAATCCCAATGATCAAAATCATTCACGAACACATTCACACAACACAAAAGTTTTGGGCCATATCCTCTTCCTTCCCCTAACCAGGGCCGGTGCAGCCATTTGGCAGGATGAGGCTGCTGCCTCAGGTGGCAGAAGCCCCCCAGTGCAGCACCCCACCTGCCCGGCCATCTATTTCAGGCGAGATCTCACAGATCTCACAGATCACAAGAACTTAACCTGCGATCCTCTGCATGCAAGGCATGCCCTCTACTTTCTTTTCATGTGTCTCGCATGCATACCTGAACTATCAGCTCTCCTAAGCACCCCTTCCTAGGTGTGTGAACTTGCTTCTCTTAATGTGAAAGTCGCACCTTCTATTTTTAAAAATGATTTTTTTTTTAGTAAGGCTTGGAGAAAAACAAAAACAAAGGAAAAGCAATACACAATATACTTCAACATCAAATACCAAGCATTTTTTAACATTAAAAACTAAAAGAGAGAAAGTAAAAGAAAGAGAAGAAAATACAAGAAAATACTTCCGATTCTTCGTTCCATCAGCTTTATAGACTTAAGCAACACCCTTGTTCCAGAATAGTTACCAACTCTTCTGCTTTCCATAAACCAACCTTTTTTCAGTCTTCAAACCCAGATATCACAAGTTTGTTTTCCTTTCTGTGCAAAAAATCCTTAAGGAGTTTCCAATCATTAATAAATGTCAACCATGGTTTTTCTCTACTTAAACATGTCAACTTCTCCATCTTAGCCAAATCCATTAATTTCAATAACCATTCTTCCATAGTCAGTGCTTTTTTTTCTAAAAAAAATAATGTTTTCCTGCTCATATTGAAACACTGCCCCTCAATGAGGCCAAACTTAAATTCACAAAATGTTTAGGGGTATGTGTACCCCTGCGTACCCACCCCCCGAAAAAAGCACTCTCCATAGTAGATAATAGTGAGTCCTTCCATCTTTGTGGATATGGCAATCTTGCCGCTGTGTTCTTATATTGAAATAATATTCCACAATCATTTTCTGTTTTTATATTCATTAGTCCCAGCAGGAAGAGTTCTGGCTTCAGTTGAATAATAATCTTCAAAATCTTCTGCATCAATGTGCGTATTGGTATCCAATTTTTTTTAAAGCTTTTTTATACATCCATGAAAGTCACATATGCCATACAGCTTATCCACACCATGAGAGACATACTGCCCATGTCCTAGTGCCATAATTCTGGATACACCTCGCTTTGGTTTCTCTCCCTTCCATTGATGGTCCTTGTTTGGAAAGCAGCACTATCTATGCACATGGTTGGGACCCCTTGGATCAGGATGTGTGTATTTTATTTTTGTGCTTTGTAGCATATGTGAAGATTTAGGGTTTTGTATGTGTTCGTATGTAGGCAACATGTATACAGTACGTACATCTATGACCAACAGACAAATGTAAAAAGTTGCACATAAAATCTGGATTTCTTTGAAGGTTGCTGACAAAGACAAGGATAAAGAAATTGATTTTGGAAGAGATGCGTGGTGGAGGGAATCCCTGAGGGTATGTATAATGTTCATTTAATTGTGCTTAGCTGTGTGTCACCAAGGTGGAAACTGCATGACCTGAGATGATTGTGCAGAGTTTTAGAAGGCGCTCTGCATTTTTCCAGCAATTGCAAGCCCCAGTTCTTAATCGGAGCAGAATTCTGGAATATATTCATTTACCGTTAGCCTTCTGATGTGGAAATCTGATGTGGAAAAGGGCACTCCATCCTTTGCATAATGCACATGGGAACAATGCTAATATAAAGCACACCAACCACCCCTGTAGGGGTATTTTGCACGAATTGACTTGATTCATGTGGATGCATCATTATCTTGTATACTTTGGAAGCAAATTTCAACCTTGTTTTTTTTACCCCTTCGGCCACTTCAATCTGTGAAACTGCCACTCTTCCCGGGGCTGCATAATACTTGCTCTGCATTTCTGAGAAATTGACCTTTTAGCGTGGCAGCACCTATGCTTCAGAACTCCCTGCCTATTTATATTAGACAGGTTGCCTTCTTTTGAGCCCCTGTATAAAAATAAGCATTTTTGTTTAGGCAAGTATTTCAGACATGTAGAATGTTGGCATGCATCTTAATTTTTTTTTAAAGTTTTTCGTGGGTTTAAATTATTTTTAAAATATTTTGATTTGTTGACTGTTTTTTAATCAATAATGAGATTTATTTGTTTTGTAAACTGCTTCGAATGTTTTTTTTAATTAAAAAAAAACCCCATCAAGCAGTAAATACATTTTATCAAATAGACAACTTTTTACACCACAAAGTACAACCAGAGCCCTTATTTTATGAAGGGTGAGGGGTGGGGAGAGTTTATGATGGAGCAAACCACCACTTTTTAAATCCTGTCAGCCTTCCAACAGCCAGAGTGGAAGGTATAAGAAGGGTGGGACGAAAGAGGGGAAGAGAGAGATTTTACTTCCCCTCATTCTCTGTACTTTTTGAAATTCCTTCTTTTATCAGTTTCAACTGGAGGAGGAATAACACTGTATGGATGCATGCAATACACTCTCACATCCTCACCACACATTTAAAGCACACTGCTTCCTCCGAAGAATCCTGGGGACTGTCGTTTGCACCTTGCAGAACTACAATTCCCAGCACCCTTGACAAAACTACAGTTCCCGGGTCATTCCCCTCTGTTGGAGGAAAGAGCTGTGTATGCTACATTAACTGTCCCCCCCCCCGCCCCACCAACAAGTGGAAAATACTGTCCCTTCATCAGTGCTGTGGTAAGAGTCAACTGCCATCCCAGTTGGCTTCTGCACATGGAAAAGGAGCGGAGGCCATCTTGTCTTTTACCTCAGGCAAAAAGGCTGGCCCTGCCCCGTTCAGACAGTGTGGTATTAAAATAGAGATGCAGACAAGACATTACTGTAACCGAAGCCAACTGATTTTAATGCGTTTACTCTAACACTGGAACTCCCCTAAAGGTTTTTGGCTGGCATCTTTTAACGGTTAATAACAAAATAAAACAAAACTGCTATTTAACCACAAGGAGAGTATGTGTTTATGCTTTAAAGAACACCATTTAGAGGGGAAGAGAGGAATGTACACTTGAATGCCGTTCCTTGTCTGCTGCATTGAGCTTCTTAGAGGAAAGGGAGGATAAAAACTACAACCTAGAGCAAATAAGTACGACAAATCCCGAAATCCTCAAGTTAATTGCTAGCTGTGGGTCAGATTTCAAGTTTCTTTCCTTCAGCCCACCCCAATACCAGGCTGCTACCCAGTCCGGGATTTTCTCGAGGATGCTCAGCTGAATCCAGTGAAGCGGACGTACAATTTTAAAGGGGAAGGCCGGAAGAGGATCTCCATCTTCCAGCAGATGACTGACATGACCCTACCAAGCAGCTTCAAATACGTCCCTCCTTCGTTTGTGGAGCTGGCTGAGAAAAGGCCCGTGACATATTCCTTCAGGAGCGTCTCGAGGGAGGCGCCCACGACTGCCTCCTATAGAGATAAGGTAAAAGTAAAGAAATGGGCCCATTCATTTAAAAAAATATTTGGGGGGGGCATTCATTTTAATAACTAAGGAGGGGGGAAACCCAGCCAGATGGCTGGGGTATAATAATAATAATAATTACAGTGGAATCTCGGTTTTCGAGCGTCTTGGAAGCCGAACGTTTTGGAAGCTGAATGCCGAAAACCCAGAAGTAATTGCTTCCATTTTCGAATGCACCTCAGAAGTCAAACGGTTTCCACTGCGTGTTTTTCTTTTTTCCTCAATGGATTTTGCCAGCTGCCCATTGCTCATTGGTTTTCAAACATTTCGGAAGTCGAACGGTCTTCCGGAACAGATTATGTTCAAAAACTGAGGTTCCACTTATTATTACTCAACTTTAAAGGTTAAATGTATAGCTTTGCAAATTTACCGTATTTTTTGCCCTATAGGACACACTTTTTCCCCTCCAAAAATGAAGGGGAAATCTGTGTGCGTCCTTTGGGGCAAATGCAGGCTTTCGCTGAAGCTTGGAGAGCGAGAGCGGTCGGTGCACACCGACCCCTCTCGCTCTCCAGGCTTCAGGAAGCTATCTGCAAGCCTGGGGAACCCGTGGGAGTTCCTGCAGGGCTCCCTAGGCTGCGGATAGCAGCCTGCTGCCCTGAGCGCGGGGCGCGCTGAAGCAGAGCGCCCCGCGCTTCGGGCAGATATCCTTTTCTCCTCTAAAAACTACGGTAGGTGGGTTTTTTAAAGCTCGGGCTTCCCTGCGGCTGGGGGGGGGGAATAAAAAATTATTCTTTATTTCCCCCCGCAAAAAACTGGGTGCGTCCTATGGGCCGGTGCGTCCTATGGGGCGAAAAATACGGTAGATAATGTCGCTATATTAATACACAGCTTTTCATCGCTGCAGCCAAGTCCCCTGGGTGCTTGATCAGTCTGTTATTCGAATGCTTACTGTTGATGGACAACTTCAGAACCCCTGCACTCTTGCTCTCTTTTTTTGGGGGGGGGTCTTTAAATTGGGTTGGGACTGGACAGTTCTCAAAGAGAGGACTGTTCTCTGATAGAGGACAGTCTTCTATGTGAAGGACTATCAAGCAGACAGGGGCGCCAACTATATTTGTGTGTAGGGGGCTAAGTCCCCTCCCTCAATATTGAGAGGGCTGCTATCCCCCGGTGAGCATTTGTGTGCGCAGAAGGGTGCATGACATCATTGTGTGTGATGTCACACGTGCGTGTGATGTCATGTGGGGAGAAAGTCGGCGCCCCTGCAAGCACAACACATGACCCCACCACATGAACCTGCCCAATAATCAAGCTCTGCGAGGAGAGAAGAAGCAGGGCCTTCTGGATTGTGGCACCTTCTCTCAGAAATCATCTGAAGGCAACCCTCTTCTCAGCTTTCAGAACAAAGATAATGTTATAATTTGAACGTTGACTTGTGAGCTGCTGAAACTTTATTCACTACTATTTTATAATCCGTAGAGAAAGCTTTACCCTGTCAGATTTGTTAGCTGCCTCCTGAATCTTTGTGATGAGGAATTGGGGAAACAACTATTTTAAATAGTATATAATAAAATAAAACTTGGGTTACTGACATTTGTATTGTGCACACTTGATTCCCCGCAGGATATAAACACTGACCCTGGGCAGTACGATCTTTTCCCTCCTCCTGTGCCCACTTTTCCAACCAAGTGAGTACACAGTCTTTGCTAATCTCGTTTCTCCCTCCCGCTCCTGCTCCACCCTGTACAGATTATTTTTGCCTGCTTTATTTTAAAGCCTTCATTTTGCCTCATTTCCAAGCGGCGGCAAATCCCATGGCTTGAGGACAAAGGGCGATTCATGCCACCAACTCAGATAGACTCCTGCTGATTTCAATAAGCAGGCTTCAATTAAAAAGGTGTTTTTTTTTCATGAAAGTGCCTCGCTTTGAGGGCTGACCTCCATTTGCACTGAGAGCATGGGGCAAGGTGGGGGCAGGCGGGCTGTATGCTTCTGAAGACCAGTTGCTGAAAACCAGAGGAGGGAAGAGGGCTTGGGTCCTGCTCCTGGGCATCTGAATGGCCACTGTGATAACAGGATGCTGAACTAGATCAGGGGTCAGCAAACTTTTTCAGCAGGGGGCCGGTCCACTGTCCCTCAGACCTTGTGAGGGGCTGGACAATTTTTTTTGGGGGGGGGGGAATGAACGAATTCCTATGCCCCACAAATAACCCAGAGATGCATTTTAAATAAAAGGACACATTCTACTCATGTGAAAACACCAGGCAGGCCCCACAAATAACCCAGAGATGCATTTTAAATAAAAGGACACATTCTACTCATGTAAAAACATGCTGATTCCCAGACCGTCTGCGGGCCGGATTTAGAAGGCGATTGGGCTGCATCCGGCCCCCGGGCCTTAGTTTGCCTACCCATGAACTAGATTGACCTCTGGACTGGTCTGCTAGGATCTTCTTAAGTTCTTGTCCAAAGAATCAGACACTAGTGCATTATTTTTATTTATTAGTTTGCTTTTTAGTTGCTACACACACAAACAAAATCTCCAAATGACCAAGGCTGCGTACATGCTGTGCGTTCAAAGCAACCCCTACCCCAGCAAATCCTGGGAACTGTAGTTTGGGGAGGGTGCAAAGGCACAATTAAATAAGCAAAACACCTAAACCCACGGTCCAATTAAAACAACACAATTGAAATAGGTGTGTTTCCTGCACATTCTTTAAGCTTTGCATACTGTCTGATAAGTTGCATGCTGACTTTTGATCAGATACATTTCTAAGGTAAAAGAAAAATGGGACTGGGGACCATTTCTGAAGTTGAGGACTTCTCAAAAGAACTTAAAACACATTCTCTCTCCCCCCCCCCCATGCAGGAATTATATGTTTCGATCTGCAGTTCAACGGCTTAACACTTTTGGTCCGGTAAGTATTCTGCTGATTGAGGACTTGTTAGGTATGCAAAGAAGAAGAAAAGAAATGCACACTTACAAATAGATGCTAATATGTAAGATTCACACCTGCTAATGAAACAAGGAAGCCAAGGCATTTCATCATGGACCTGAATATTCCCTGGAAATTGTGATTGGCTGTGAGTGCTGGGAATTCTAGTTGCAATCCCAACTCTCCCTCAGAAAGCTACACTTCTCACCCTCCTTTGGTTAGGAGCTGTGACGGTTAAACAGACTTGAAACTAGATTAAATTTATAGTGTAAATTTGGGATGGCTCTGTTAAACCACAGAGCCTAGGGCTTGTCGATCAGAAGGTCGGCGGTTCGAATCCCCGCAATGTGGTGAGCTCCCATTCTTCGGTCCCTGCTCCTGCCAACCTAGCAGTTTGAAAGCACATCAAAGTGCTAGTAGATAAATAGGTACCACTCCAGCAGGAAGGTAAACGGTGTTTCCTTGCGCTGCTCTGGTTCACCAGAAGCCCCTTAGTCATGCTGGCCACACGAACCGGAAGCTGTACATCGGCTCCCTCAGCCAGTAAAGTGAGATGAGTGCCGCAACCCCAGAGTCATCCACGACTGGACCTAATGGTCAGGGGTCCCTTTACCTTTACCTAAACTTTTTGGGGGCTTGAGCCTTATTGAGCCAGGGTCAACCCTCTGGAGGCTTCGTGCCAAAGCGGGCTAAAATGTAAAAGGGAGTGTGGCCAATTTATTATTATTTTTATTATAAAATATACTTTTTGGGAGGAGGGCATACACTGGAGACTTTCTGAAATGATTCCTAAGGCTGAAATCCTGTACACTCTTACCTTGGAGTAAGTTCCATTAAATTTAACAGAACTTCCTTTTGAGTAGACAGGGTTAGAAATGCAGAATTTCTGCACTGGAAAAACCCCCACACGTTGTTTAATTATTGTATTTCAATCGCATAAGGTGTGAAGGGGTGGGGGTGTTATCCAACATGGCAACTTGATGCTCGCTTACATCTGTTGATGGCTCCAGGAACAGCTTTCTTCACTAAGGTAGCAGGGTACAGAATCTCACTGTGGGCCTTAGATGGATGAAGTGTGACATAAGGGGGAAAGGGAGTGGTGAGCTTGGGGGCGTGAGTCATGATGATTCACATACATGCATTCCTGGTGCCCTTTGAGTCACATATGAGCCAGCTCCCATGTTATCAGTCTGCACCCATAAAGAGATGTTCCCATGGAACTTGCAGGCAGCCTTCCTTGCACAATGGATGATGGGTCTGTTGCAAAGAGGCTGCTGCTGCTGCTGACGCCACGCTAGGAGTTTTGAGCCTGAGCAAGTTTGCCAAGTGGTAGTAACTTCGCATGCTGAGCACATAACACAACCTTCGCATGCTGAGCACATAACCATAACTACCCTTTCCTGTCTTGGTCTGGAAATCCAGGCGAAATATTGAGATTCTACTCACTGCTTGGCAAGACCATACTGATAACATGGGTGGCGCTGTGGTCTAAACCACTGAGCCTCTTGGGCTTGATGATCAAAAGGTTGGCGGTTCAAATTATTATGACCGGGTGAGCTCCCGTTGTTCTGTCCCAGCTCCTGCCAATCTAGCAGTTTGAAAGCACACCAGTGCAAGTAGATAAATAAGTACCACTGCGGCGGGAAGGTAAATGGCATTTCCATGCACTCTGGTTTCTGTCATGGTGTTCCATTGCACCAGAAGTGGTTTAGTCATGCTGGCCACATGACCCAGAAAGCTGTTTGCAGACAAACGCCGGCTCCCTCAGCCTGAAAGAAAGATGAGCGCTGCAACCCCAGAGTCGCCTTTGACTGGACTTAACTGTCCAGGGGTCCTTTACCTTACCTTTACTGATGACCAGCTTTACCTAGTCATTGAGATGCATGCTGTGATAATCATGGCAAGGAGTGGTCTATAGTCAACTCATTCTTAGACTCTGTTATGGGACAACCTGAACATTCAACAGAGAATTGTGGTCAGAAGCGAGCTTTTGAAAACCTAACCCAGATGTCTGGGCAGCTATGAGCATGTGAAGAATGCCTAGCAGGAACTTAAAGATTATAGTACTAGAGATCAAGAAACACTTTCTGCACAGTCACTTGACCACAACTCAGCATGTCTTTAAATAGAGTTACGGCTGGCATTGTTGGACTGAATATTGTTACTGCTTTGCTGCCAATGCAGAAATAAAAGTTTGGGCTCCTAGTATTTATACTAGGCCTCGTGAAGTCAGAGGCTTCATACTGCCCGCCAAGAGCAAACACTGATGTTCTATGCTCCTATTCTCTTCTGCATTGTAAAGTAATTTGAGGACAGGGTGTCCATCATGTAGACTAATTTACTAAACCAGGCCCAATCCCAGTTCAAGCATTGCTCTCTTAAGGGCCTGCTCTCCTAAGGGCTGTCTGTTCCCTTATATTGCCATACCCTCCAACATTTCTCTGATGAAAACAGGGACTTCCTAAAGAAAACTGGGACATTCCAGGAACTCGTATGGCTTCTATAAATCCGTGGACTGTACCTGGAAAACAGGGACACTTGTAGGGTCTGTATTTCTTCAGGGAAAGATCTCCTTTCCTATGGACTCAGATGTGCAGCTTGTTTCCACCATGGGCCATGCATTCAGTATCATGAGCCCAATGTTGTGGAACTCGCTCCCAGTTGATATTCGACAGACTCTCTCCATGTCAAACTTTTCAAAGAACTTTCAGGAGGCATTTTAAGGAAGTTTTCTGTTGTTACGATTCATTTTAATTGATCTTATCCATTGTGTGTGTTTATTTTTTGTGTGTGTACACTGCTTAGAAGCTTCAGAAATTAAGCGGTACATAAATAGTTTAAATAAATAAAACCAGACCATCACAGAGTCCGTATATTGGGTAGCCTGTGCTGGCAAACACCAAATGCTTGTTACATCCCCACAAAATAATGCTGGAAGAATGATGGAGAGAGAAGAAAAAGAGAATCCCTATTAGAAGTTCTGGCCTTCAGAAGAACTTGTGCATTCCACTTGCAAGGTATGTACGGTCACACCTTTCCCATTTGATGGATGTGTTGACTGTGATTGTCCAGATATAGTCAGGAAGAACAAGTGCACGTCCATTATTGATGCATCTGTGCCTTCGGTTAATAAAAACCCAGAATTCAGGAGCTGAGGCTGCGAGGAAGTATCAAGATCTTGTCATCAATATTAAGCAAGTGTATCAGCTGGAGAGCGTATGAGTCACCCCATCATAATCTTGATAAATGGCTTGATCCCGAAAGCGTTGAAAAGGTAGCGTCGACGGTATGAAACTCCCCAAAAGATGAATCAGTCATGTCCTCGAAGCTGTCACTTGAACACCGGCAGAATTATCCAGAAGACCTTGAACATCGCCGACGCCGGAGCCTATGTGTGTTTTTCATGCCTCCCCCACAAAACATTCTTGTACCTAAATGTAGAATTTGCACCAAGGGGACGTCTATGTCATGATCTGTGAGGCAGATATTATTGTATAAACCACTTTGGAAAAGTACCGCAGGAAAAGTGGAGTGCAAATATTAAATCAAAATTAAGCTCAACATTCAAATTAATTGTATCTTTAGACACTTGCCCTTCACACAAGCCTGGTTGTGGAAAATGCTAGCTTTTTAAAGAATTTGCAACGTATTTTTTGTTTCATTTTGTAAGGATTATCGAAGACATGAAAAGAGAGATGTGTTATTTGGTTATTGTGCTTAGCTCATGGAGCACAATTTGGGAATCCATGTTCTAAAACATAGGCACCAACCCTTTGGGGCTGAGGACACCTGGGCAGTGTATATAGAGGTCCTGGGCTGCCCAGACAACAAGACCCGCCCCCCTCTCGGCCTTGCTGATGTGGTCCAAAGGAAAGCAGAGCAATACATTTGGCACCAGATGCCATCTGATCGTCCGGATTTGTGTAGGGTTTACTCCTTAGTCGTTTCTTCTCCCGTGATGTGCAGAACAGCTGGTTACGCAGCCTTCCAAAGAGGAGTCCCTCTTCTTCTGGTACAGAAACAATCATCGGATCATCACTAGTCCCTATTTTTCTTTGGAAGTGTTTCAGCTGGTGGAACACACTGTGCTATGAAGCCAGGGGGCAGGGGGAGCGTTACAGCTTCTTAACACCTAACGCATTTAGTGAACAGAGGTGACAGTTTGTGGCTGTGATTCATGCCTGCCTTACATAGAGAAAAAGTGCCGCGCTCAAATTAGCCACCAAATCTGTACAGCATAAAAGGAGAACAGTCGACCTGTTGTCGAGCAATCCAGACAAGCTGTGGAAAGGAGAAGGCCGCAGTGAGACGAAGGTCCAGATTTACTGGCTTCCTCCTTTGTAACAGGTGAAACTTTTAAGGAGGCTGATATGATAGTCTTTACCAGGAATTGACAGTCTTTACCAGGAATGAGGAACCTCAGCCCTGGGGTCCAGATGTGGCCCTCTAATTCTCTCTAGTGATCCTCAGGACTCTCCCTAGGCACACTGCCTCTTCCCTGGCAACACCTCCCACTGGCTCTGCTGCATGCCACCTATGAGTGGTGTTTTTGCCTGGCTGGAATGTGCCCATGAGCTCTGATAATGCCACTTGCTTGTCTAGATGAAGGTATGTGAGTGTACAAACACACAATGGTACAGAATTTCTCCTCCCACTTTTGCCTTAGGCCCTGCCCAGTGGCTGGCATGTGGCCTCGAAGGGTTGTCCAGGAGGAGATGCAGCAAAGATTCCCCAATCCTGGTCCACTCAGCATGTTGCTCAGGGGTTGCAAAATTCAGTTTTGGTTGGCACAGAATGCGGGTGTGCTAAGTGCAGTGTAGTCACAAACCTGCTTCAGGTTCTGTTGAAGTCCACGTCCAGCACATCTGCCACTCGTGCCAAATTGCTTTATAGCCTGATGCTTTCAACAGGTTTGCCTGGGAGTGAGGTCAGAGGCAGACCATAGGTTGTCGCCCCCCCCCCCCACCCAGAGAGCAGAAGTT